GCATCGAGTCAGTGATGCCATCCAACCATCTCATCCTCTGTCACCTCCTTCTCCTCCCACCTTCAATCTTTCCCAGCATCAGGGTCTTTTCCAATGAGTCAGCTCTTCGCATCAGGCGGCCAAAGGATTGGAATTTCAGCTTCAGCACCAGTCCTTCCAATGAATATTCAGGGCTGATTTCCTTTAGGATGGTCTGGTTTGATCTCCTTGCAGTTCAAGGGACTCTCAAAAGTCTTCTCCAACACCACAGTTCAAAAGTATCAATTCTTCAGCACTCAGCTTTCTTTATAGTCCAACTCTCATATACATATATGACTACTGGAAAAATCATAGTTTTGACTAGACAGACCTTTGTTTCAAAGTAATGTCTCTGTTTTAATATGCTGTCTAGGTTGGTCACTGCTTTTCTTCCAAGGAGAAAGCATCTTCTAATTTCATGGTTGCAATCACCATCTGCAGTGATTTTGAAGCCCAAGAAAATAGTCTCTCACTGCTTCCATTGTTTCCCTTCTATTTGACACAAAGTGATGGGACCAGATGCCATGATCTTAGTTTTCTGAATGTTGAGTTTTAAGCCAGTTTTTTCACTCTCCTCTTCCACTTTCATCAAGAGGCTCTTTAGTTCTTCTTCACTTTCTGCCGTAAGGGTGGTATCATCTTCGTATCTAAGGTTATTGATATTTCTCCCAGCAATCTTGATTCCAGCTTGTGCTTTATCCAATCCGGAATTTCGCATGATGCACTCTGCATATAAGTTAAATAGGCAGGGTGACAATATACAGCCTTGATGTACTCCTTTTCCTATTTGGAATCAGTCTTTGTTCCATGTACAGTTCTAACTGTTGCTTCTTGACCTGAATAAAGATTTCTCAGGAGGCAGGTCAGGTGGTCTGGTATTCTCATCTCTTTCAGAATTTTCCACAGTCTGTTGTGATCCACACAGTCAAAGTCTTTGGCATAGTCAATAAATCAGAAGTAGATGTTTTTCTGGAACTCTCTTGCTTTTTTAGAGAACAGTTAACACCTATCCTTCTGAAACTCTTCCAAAATATTGCGGAGGAAGGAACACTCCCAAGTTCATATTATCAGGCCACTATCACTCTGATACTAAAACCAGACGAAGGCACTACCAAAAAAAATTTACAAGCCAACATCACTAATGAATATAGCCACAAAAACACTCAAGAAAATACTAACAAACTGAAACCAACAATGCATTAAAAGGATCATACTGGGACTTATTCCAGAGATGCAAGGATTCTTTAGTATCCATAAATCAATCCATGTGATACACTATAGTAACAAACTGAAGAATAAAAACCATATGTTCATCTCAACGGATGCAGAAAAGCTTTTGACAAAATTCAAAACCCGTTTATGATAAAAAGAAAAAAAATCTCTCCATAAAGTGGGCATAGAGGGAATTTATCTCAACAAGATAAAGGCCATATATGACAAGTCTATGAGCTTCCCTGGTGGCTCAGATGGTAAATAATCTGCCTGCAATGCAGGAGACTGGGGTTTGATCCTTGGGTCAGGAAGATCCCCTGGAGAAGGGAATAGCTACCCATTCCAATATTCTTACCTGAAGAATTCCATGGACAAACGAGACTGGAGGGCTATAGTCCATGGCATTGCAAAAAGTCAGACACTACTGAGCAACCAACACTTTTCTTTTCATGACAAGCCCACAGCAAACAATATTCTCAATGGTGAAAAACTGAAGGCATTTCCTCTAAGATCAGGAACAAGACAAGGATGTCTACTCTGGTCACTATTATTCAACATAGTCTTTGAAGCCTCAGCCATGGCAACTAGAGAAGAAAAGGAAATAAAAGGAATTCAAACTGAAAAAGAAGAAGTAAAACTGTCACTGCTTTCAGATGGTATGATACCATGCATAGAAAATCCTAAAGATGCCTTTAGCTGCCTTTAGTCTTTTAGGATCAGAAAACTACTAGAGCTAATCAATGAATCTGGTAAAGTTGCAGGATACAAAATAAATGCACTCTTGCATTCTTATACAGTAACAATGAAAGATCACAAAGAGAAATTAAGGAAACCATCCCATTTACCTTTGCAACAGAAAGAATGAAATGCCTAAGAATAAACCCACCTCAAGAGGCAGAAGACCTACACTCAGAAAACTGTAAGATACTGATGAAAGAAATCAAAGATGACACAAACAGATGGAGTGATATACCTTTTTCTTTGGATTAGAAGAAGCAATATTGTGAAAATGACTCTATTACCCACAGCAATCTGTAGATTCAATGCAATCCCCATCAAATTACCAATGACATTTTCCACAGAATTAGAAGCAAAAATTTTATAATTTATATGGAAACACAAAAGGCCTCAAATAGCCAAACTAATCTTAAGAAAAAAGGGCCTGGAAGAATCAGGCTCCCTGACTCAAAGCTATATTACAAAGCTACAGTTACTAAGACAGTATGGCACTGGCACAAAAACAGAAATACAAATCAATGCAACAGGATAGAAAGCCCACAGATAAACCCACACACATATGGTCACCCAATCTATGACAAAGGAGGCAAAAATACACAATGGAGACTAGACAGTCTCTTTAATAAGCGGTGCTGGGAAAACTGGACAGCTACATGTAAAAGAACAAAATTAGAACATTCTCTAACACCATACACAAGAATAAACTCAAAAGGGATTAAAGACCTAAGCTGGTACGCCACAACTATTGAGCCTGTGCTCTACAGCCCAGGAGCCACAACCAGTGAGTCCACGCGCCACAAATGCTGAAGCCTGTGTGCTCCAGAGTCCACGCTCCTCAGGAGAAGCCTCCGCAATGAGAAGCCCATGCACCACTGGAGAGCAGCCTCCACTCACCGTAACTAGAGAATCGCCTGTGCAGCAATGAAGACCTAGCACACAGCCAAAAAAGCCACACGGACCATGAACCATGTACATGTACACAGAAAAATACATATACAAACTCCTCTCTTGATCAGTTTATAAAAATAAATTCCAGATGTAATAAACACCTAAATGAAAAAAGTCAAACTACAAAACTCATATAAGAGGATATCCTTAATGACACTAAAGTAGGAAATAAAAGTCACACACACACAATTTTGACCCTAAAGGAAAAGACTAACAAATTAAAATAGAAGTCACTAAAAACACATTAAAAGACATGCAATAACAGACTAGAAGAAGGCATCTCCAACACATAAAATCAGTAAAGGACTAGAGATCCAGAAATTAGGAAGAACTTCTAGAAATCAGTAAGAAAGGGCAAAATCTTAATAGGAAACTGTACAAATGATATGAATACATAATTCAGAAAAAAGAAAATCCAAAGTGTAACTAAACATATGGAAAGATATGCAATGTCATGAGTAAGCAATGATAATAGTCATACTGGCAAAAATTAAGAAGACTAAAATACTAGAAATCAACAAGGACATAAAAAAATAGCACATTTCAAACACTGATGATGAGAATGGAAACAAGTAAGAAATCAACTTGGCAATATGAGTAGAATTAAGCTACTCTATTGTCTAAAGAATTCCACTTCCAGGCATACTACTTAGAGAAGTCTCAGATGGGTACATAGCAGATATATACAGAGATGTCCAGAGTAGCATTGTTTATAATGGCAAAAAATTGGAAACACTCTGATAGGAAAACATATAAACTGTGGCACAGTCGTTCAATAGACATTAAAATGAAAGAACTACTCTGACAATGCAAAACTTTTACTGTTTAGCTTGAGACTCTTTTTTTAAAAACAAAATTTCTAAAAAATAAAAATAAAAACAAAATTTCTAATCAACTGTTCATGACAACTGAAGTGTTATTTGTTATTTATTCCTTTGTGTGAAGTGCTAGACTCCCATGGATGTAGCTGATCATTTCTATTGCAAATATTATATAATTTTACATAAATGGTGTTATAATAAACTACTTTTGCATCACAAAAAGAAAATGAACAAACTACAGCTACATGCATAAAAACTGATAGACAAAAAACTAACAAAAAGCAATTTGCAATAGGATTATTATGTATGATACTGTTAATACAAAATTTAAAAGCATACAAAACTGTACCTTGTGTATTATAGGTAAATTAGATTCATATAAAGGAAAAATTTTTTTTTTAAATGATGGGAAGAACAAACTTCCCATCTTCAGGCTGATGGTAACCTCAGGGGAGACATGAAAGATAAAGGATGCTTTTCTCCTATTTCTAAAACAAACAACAAAGATCTGAAGCCAGTATGGCAAAATATTAATATCTAAAGAGTTGGGTTTGTGGGCACATATGTATTTGATATTTTGCACACTTCTGTATATTTTTAAATATTTCATAATTTAGAACAATTTAATCACGTGGGGAGTTTAGGAGGTGGATGCAGAAAATACAGGTTACTGTTTCATCAGTATTGATGGCAAAGACATAATGGCAGCTTAAAAACAAATTTTAAATAGGGAACATACTAGCCTCTTATGGTAGATTAGAACATGTGCGTATATATACATATGCACATATGTGCATACATACACACACACATTTCCATTTGGAAATAGAAGAAAACAAGGAAGGAGAATCAAGGCAATGACTGTGCTAATTGCCATTTAGCCTCATAAGTCTCACAACACTATCACAGGACTATCTAACCATCAGTGTCTGCAAGTAAGAGTTTGGTTTTTCCCTTTTGATATTTTTACTGTATTCCTTTTTCTGTTTGTCCTGTTGGCTAAAATGCCTGTGAAACTTGATTAATAACAATTATTGGCATGTGCTGTTTCTGACTTCACCAGAATGAACAGCAAGGCAATTTATCACAGCAAAGAAAAGCATGCACTATGGAGTCAAATGAAGAGGGTTTAATCTTCAATGCTAGCACATACTGGGCATAAACTCAGGCAACTGATTTAACATATGCATCTCCCCTGTGCTCATCTGTAAAATAGTGAATGACTAACATTGACTCTTTACTTCTCTACAGCATTGGTCTTACCTGAATAGTTTCTTCTAGGCGGTAGCACTCAAGGACTTGCAGCGTCTCAATAACGTGGTTTGGGCTGAACTGACACAAGAGCTCAATGAACTGCTCTATTATACAGGGAGATATCTGCAGCGATTCTTGATTTACATGAATACCTTCCCTGAAAACAGAAAAGGCAAGAGAGTAGCATTATTTAATCATATCTGTAATTAAGGCTACAGCTAAAAAGCATGTTAAGTTTCCCAGGTGGCTCAGTGGTGAAGAATCTGCCTGCCAATGTAGGAGACACAGGTTTGATCCCTGGGTGGGGAAGATTCCGTGGAGAAGGAAATGCAACCCACTCCAGTATTCTTGCCTGTGAAATACCATGGACAGAGAAGACTGATGGTCTACACACAGTGCATGGGTTCGCAAAAAACTGGACACAACTCAGCAACTGAACACCACCACAAAATGTTACCTTAAAACCAAGACTACCTTTTGATCAGGTAAAATTGTGAATTAAAAGTCTTGATGTTACTTAGGTTATTAAGGTGAATTATATGTGACAGAGACATTCTAAATCACAATGCTTCTCAATTTACCTGGAATAATTACAGAAATGAGATTCAGTGCAGGCTCCTCTAAATCACACACAAAGTTCTATTATTGCTCAAAAAGAAACAAAGATGACTCAGTTTAGTTTGAACAATTTGATCCATGAATGACTATATACAATAAGCCATCTTCCAGTCTCAACAACTGTCCCTACTCTACTTCCCTTATGATACCAATCACATCATGTTGTAATCACTTCTTTAATTACCTATTTTCTCTAAAAGATTAAATTCTGTGAGGGCAGCCACCAGGTATCTTCTCACTAATGAGTCTCAAGGCCTGCAATAGCACCTTGCACAATGCAGCAACAGCTAATCATTTGGCTATTGTTAAAACAAGCAAGTGGATGAAGAGTAAGATATATTAAATTTATGGTTCATTTGCCTGGATGTCAGCAATTCACAAAGCCTGCTATTCATAATGCCTACACAAAAGCTGTGGAGGTCGAGGATTAGTTTTATCATGGTGGAGACTACTGGAAATATTTAGAAAAATCAACTGCTGCTCATTGGAGATCTAAGAATAATTTTCTCTCTACCCTCAAAATAAGTCAGTTCTTCTGGGAGTCTATCTTCTCTTCAGAATTCTTCAACCAAAGCTCTGTATATAAAAAACTGGAACAGGGTTAAGAAGATACAAAAATGACTGGTTGGAAAACTAACCTTCTAAAGAAAGGTTAATGGTCTGAATAGACCAATCTCTAGAAATGAAACAGAATCTGTAATTAAAAAAAAAAATCCCTACCAATTAAAAATCAGATGGCTTCATAGGAGAATTCTACTAGATATACAAAGAACTTACACAGATCCTTCTCAAACTCTTCCAAAAGAACCAAAGAGGAAGGAATACTCCCAGAGACATTTTATGAAGCCACTGTCACCCTAATACCAAAACTAGACAAAGACACACTACCAAAAAAAGAAAATTACAGGTCAATACCTTTCATGAATATAGATGCAAAAATTCTCAACAAAATATTAGCAAACTGAATCTAACAACACATAAAAAAGGTCATACACCACGACCAAGTTGGATTCAACCCAGTGTCACAAGGATGGTTCAACATATGCAGATTAATCAATGTGATACATCACATCAACAAGAGAAAAGGTAAAAACTATATGATGATAACAGATGCAAAAGAAGCATCTGATAAAATTCAACATCCATTCATGATTTTAAGAAAAACCCTGACAAAAGTGGGTATAGAGGGACCATACCTCAACATAAAAGCTGTTTATGACAAACCCACAGCCAATATGATACTCAACAGTGAAATGCTGAAAGCCTACACACTAAAATCTGGAACCAGACAAAGATGCCCACTCTCACTACTTTTCTTCAAGATCGTTTTGGAATCCCTACCCCAGCAGTCAGACAAGAAATAAAAGGGTATTCAAATTGGTAGGGAAGAGGTGAAATTATCATTATACACAGATGATGTGATACTATATATAGAAAACCTTAAAGACTCCACACAAAAACTACTAGAACTGATAAATGAATTCAGCAATGTAGCAGGATACAAGATTAACATACAGAAATCGGTGACATTTCTTTACACTAACAGTGAAATAGCAGAAAGGGAAAGGGAATATAAAAAAAAAAAAACCACCTTTTAAAATTGCATCCAAAAAAACACTTAAGAATAAACCTCATCAAGGAGGTAAAAGACTTGCATGCTGAGAACTACAAAACATTAATAAAGGAAACTAAAGATGATTTAAAGAAAAGAAATGATATCCCATGCTCTTGGGTTGGAAGAATCCTGTTAAAATGGCAATACTACCCAAAGCAATCTACTGATTTAATGTGCTTGCTATCAAATTACCCATTTTTCACAGAACTAGAACAAATATCCTAAAATTTATATGGAACCATAAAAGACCCAGAATTGCCAAAGTAGTCTTGAGGAAAAAGAACAAAAACAGGAGACATAACCCTTCCAGACTTCAGACAAAGCTCTGATTACAAAGCTACAGTTATGATTAAACAGTGTGATACTGGCCCCAAAACAGACATATGGATCACTGAAACAGAACAGAGATCCTAGAAATAAACCCACACACCTATGGCCAATTAATCTTTGACAAAGAAGGCAAGAATATAAAATGGAGAAAAGACAATCTCTTCAGCACGTGGTGCTGGGAAAGTTGAACAGCTGCATACAGATCAAAGAAGTTAGAGCAGGCCCTCACACTATGCATACAAATAAGCTCAAAATGTCTCAAAGACTTATTTATAAAACAAGACACCATAAAACTCCTAGAAAAGATCACAGGCAAAAAATTCTCTGACATAAATTATAGCAATGTTTTCTTAGGTCAGTCTCCCAAGACAACAGAAATAAAAACAAACAAATGCTATGTAAGCCAATTACAAGCTTTTGCACAGCAAATGAAATACAAACAAAACAAAAAGACAACCTATGGAATGGGAGAAAGTATTTGTGAACGATGGCACAGGGGCTTAATTTTCAAAATATACAAAAAGCTTCTACAACTCAATGAAAAAATAATCCAATCAAAAAATGGACAGGAAAACCTAAACAGAAACTTCTCCAAAGACATACAGATGTTCAAAAGGCACACAAAAAGATGCTCAACATCACTAATTATCAGATAAATGTAAGTTAAAACGACAATGATGTATCACCTCACGTCAGTCAGAAAGGCTATCACTAAAAAGTCTACAAATAGCAAATGCTAGAGAGGGTGTGAAAAAAGGGAACCCTCTTACACTGTTGGTTAGAATGTAAACTGGTGCAACCACTATGGAAAACAGTATGGAGGTTACTCAAAAAAACTAAAAATAGAGTTCCCATATGCTCTAGCAACCCCACTCTGAGCATATACCCAGAGAAAACTCTAATTCAAAGATACATGCACTATTCACAATACTCAAGACATGAAAACAACCTAAATGTCCATCAGATGAATGGATAAAAAAAATATGTGTATACACACAGACAGAATATTACTCAGCCACCAAAAATAATTAAATAATGCTATTTGTACCAACACAGATTGACCTAGAGAACATCATACTGATTGAATTAAGTCAGAAGGAGAAAACAAATACTGTATGCTATCACTTATAGGTGGAATCTAAAATACAACACAAATCAACGTATCTATGAAACAAAACCAGATTCACAGATATAGAGAACAGACTTGTGGCTGCCAAGGTGGAGGAAGGGACTACAGGTGGGATGGAATGGGAGTTTAGGATTAGCCAATGCAAACTCATATACAGAATGGATAAGCAACAGGATCCTACTGTGTAGCACAGGAAACTATATTCAATATCCTATGACAAGCCATAATGGAAAAGAATATGAAAAAGAATATGTATAACTGACTCACTTTGCCATACAGAAGATATTACCACAACACTGTAAATCAACTGTACTTTGCTCAAATCAAATAAAAAATAAATAAATCGCTAGAAAGAAAAAAAAAAAAGGAGAGACAGAAAGAGACAGCCAAAAAGGTTAATGGTCTAAATCAACACTTCTAGTTTTTTCTCATAATGGCACATAGAAAATGACTGTATTTATATGGCCCATCAGAAATCAGACTGATTACAAGGTACTCTGTGTACCCTAAGAGGTGCCTCTCAAGATTTGAGGGAATCAGTCTTTAAACACAACTGCAAAAAAAATAAAAATAAAAAAAAATAAACACAACTGTAACCCAGGTGCAGCACACCAACAGCCATAGGTAGGAATATCTGGACTCAAGAATGATCTAGGGGTTTTAAGTATTCTATATGGTGGTACATAGCACTCCTATTTTTATTAGCAAGACTCTTCAGTTACAGAATAGGAATTATATTTAGAATGGAAAATCCTTCCCAAATTAAGAGCTTTATGACCCTCAGTCCTGACCAGAGGTTGGGCAAGGATCTCACTAAATCCTGCTGCTTGGGGATTTCAATACATGCTGAGGCTAACTCAGTATCTCCTCAAATAGGCTGTAAATCCCAAAGATCAAGTTTTCCTCTTTCTTTATTTCACAACTGCCTTTAAGGCAGGATTTTGTTAAATGACTGGCTATTCCCTATACAGCCCACCACCTGAGTTCTGATCATGTAACTTGAAAACTATCTAAGTGTCTGTCCCAAATATACAATAAATTCTGAAACCAAAGATGGTGCTACATTCATCACTGTTTTCCCAGCACTGGAACAGTATTGTCACAAAATAACAGGTGCTCGGTAAACGCACACTGAATTAAACCGAACTGATGAAATAAACAGTACATTGGACTGTCTTCAAACAGAGGGACCCAAAATGTAGAAAAGAAGAGTGAAAATTACAAGGACTAGGGCCATAAAGTCATATGTAGCTAGGACTAAGTCTTGTCAGAAAGTTCTACATGGAGAAAATAGGAGATGATGACAGTTCTCTTTGTAGAACCAAAGTTGTGTCTCAATAGAACACAATTAGGAAAAAGAGAAAGGGAATGCAAACCAATTCTTGACATTAAGGTGAGTCTGTGTACTTTCCATATGTTTATACACAGAGGGTGGTGCTAATATTATACCTATGTCAGACTTCCA